TAATATGTTGTATTTAATAAAAAGGTAATGGAATGATTCGTGTTCAACACACCATAGTGTACATCACAACATTCAAGATCCAAGTGAGTTGGAATGTTTCTGTCCGTGTGCCACAGTTTAGAGGAAATACCACCAGACTGGGAAAGAAAATTCACATGGTTCACATCCCGATTGTATTGTTCTTGAAAAAAAGAACGTATGTGAAATGTTGTTCCACATGTACTGTCGCTGGATCATTCTCAAGGACGGCGATGATAATAGAAAGCAAGCAAGTAGGGGACAGCAGCTGTGCCACCGAGGGGGAGGAATCTGTCCGTCACTTCTCGTCCTCGAGTCCAATGCAAGCAGTCAAAGAGTCAAACGGGGGACTTGGATCAAGGAGCCCACTCTGTGAGGAGACTGACTGGCAGTTGTGAGGACATGTGTTTGAATCTTAAAAGAGTCACTTAGTTTTGATGTAAGTTACACAATGCAAACAATCCAAGATACTAGAAATATTCTCCAAGTGTCTGAGCAAGTAGCCCACTCTGTAAGGAGACTGGCAGTTCTGAGGACATAGGTTCAAACCAGAATAGTTCTTGGGTCAAATCTATCCTGGAGTAATTTTGTAATTTTTATGTCACAAATGAAAAAGACAAATAGAACATCTGTTAGAAGAAATAAGTAGATCTCCAATAGAGATGTGGAGACACTATTCTCTACTTGTCAGTTCAAATCTGACCACAGCTGATTTAGCTTTTCTCCATCATCCTTTAGATTTTATGTTTAAAGTCAGAGGACTGTACTAAAAAGTCTAGTGTGGTTTTAATTTGATTTATAAAAACATCTTTAAAATAACAAATCCCTCATTCAAACTTTAAAAATAGAATTACTAATAAAAACATATACACCCCCGGGAGTCGGCCTGACTTGGTATATTCCAGGTGTCTCCTCTCTTTCTCCATATATTCCATTGAACTCCACCACTTCCTGTTTGCCAGTCGGTACTTCCGCATGGACCCGGAGCTGCTTGGACACGGAGCCCGTAGATCTTCACGAGGTGAATTCTGTTTCAAATATCAACAGTTATACACAGTTATTCGATCTTCTGTGTGTTTGACGTGTCGCTGCAGATTTCTCATTGTTCACTCGTGTTTTAGAGCAAAACTCGTSTCATTAGTTTCTCGTGTCAATGCTAAGCTAAGCTAGCACCCCAAGCTAACCACACCTGGCACCGGTTGCTCAGTGATGGGAAGTAAAAGAGAGAAACTTGTGTTTGGAGCAGAAAGAAGCTGTTTCTAAACGTTTCACCTTTTAAACATGAACCAAGAAAAGTGAGCGTGTTTGAAATTCTCATGTGAAACACTTGAGCACGTCTTTTGTCCGGAGCTAAACTTGCTTT